ATATATATATATATATATATATATATATAGCCAAGTTGCCGAACAGTTGAGCGACCAACTAGTCGAATCGCATCACAAAACGGGAAATGGAGGGTAAAAAAGAAAACGTGAGCCTGGAGTCATAAATAAAAACAAATAGAAAACAGGTGAGATTGTTGAAAAAAGCTCCGTGAAGAATATGGCAAAGTGTTCAACCACTGCATCGAAATCAGCAGAGCTGCGTGCGCGGAGAGTAGAAGGAGAGTGCCGGAACACGATCCAACAGGAGAATCAAAACAGAAAAGAAGATTGACCTCCAACCTGCTGCTAATGATTATATATATATGGAAAATGCTAATATGAGTAATATAATAATGAACGACCACTGTACTAATGGACCTCATTTTTATGACTAAAACTAACTTCGATGATACAACCGGGTTGGATAATCGACGATAAGGAGGTGAAAGAATGGGCGATTCAAGACATGGCGAGACGGAACGATGAGGAGGTGAAAGCAGAAATGATTGGCAATCGTCATCAGAATCTGAATCCTCGTACCCATGTTGAGAACGCATATGATATCCATACCCAACATCTTTCAAAACCATGCCACACTTCTGCATAGTAAACCGTTATAAAACTTGCGTATTTATTAACATGAAGATTATGCATCAGAAACAAAAATTAGAAAAACAACCTCACAAGTGATAAGTGTCATGGACCCGAGTTCATTACTAGGACAGAAACCATAACAAATTGCTTCTGGAAAAAAGGAAATAATTATTCTTGGGTATTATGAATATTAGTAGTGAGTATTAGCCAACATATCAATTCCATTGCTTTGTAAACTTTTTACGAGAGCATTTGTTGCATCAAATTGATAACTCATCAATTATTGAACTTCCTGTGTTCAATAGATATGTTAACTCAGCAAACCATTTCCTGATAAATTTTTTCCGCTCAAGTATTCCTTCTAAAGTCAAACAGCTCTTTCAGAAAGTTGTCTACAATACAACTTCGAGTGATTCAATAAGGAACTGAATTTAAGAAAATAGAATTAAAATAATATACTTTGTGAAGGCATTGCAGCTACATCATGACGTACTTTTGGGGTGACGACTGTGCTATCTAAGTGTGTAGCACGTCGCCATACTTCCCAGCTGAGTCCCACTAATGACGTGTCGACTTCGCTGTCTGACATACTTGATTACAGCAAAATGATCAGTAATGATCAACAATTTCAAATCGAAACTCGAACTAAACGCCTGCGCATCCACAATTTCGAATGTTACAAGCATTTCGTACAAGCCCTCAGCATCATGAAGAATATACAAACAACCATGTTGAAATAAAATACCTCCATCAATTAATACAGGAGGTTAAACTGAAAAGGCGAGAAACGATTCTGAAACACTGAAAAAAATTGACAAAAGAAATCAAAAAAGTGAAATTTCCTTCAAATATACAACGAAGACATTCAAAAAAAAAGCATCACATTTTAAAGAGTGACTACGTCACAGACAGTGAGATTAATTAAATAACAAATTGAAAGCAGAATATTGGATCTTTCCACAGGTAAATAATGATTTTGTATGACAAATAAAGTACAGGAGAAGAATATCTTTAATGAAGTTATAACTTTCTACATATATTGACGATAAACGTGCATAGCCAAAGACACATGCTTATGGTAATTATCTCAATGTAGATCAACAGTTTGAGCTTTTTGCGACCATGCCGCTTAAGACAGAGTGGGAAAAAAACACATGACGTAAGGTTATTTTCGCGCACATTCTAAATGCGTACCGCCCACTGTGATTATTTTACTGAAGCTTGTATCTGGATTTGAAAGCAATCGAATCCATAGTACAGAAAACCGCTCAAATTTTACTACTGTCAACATTCCATTTTACGTGAATTCTGGTCCCTCAACATTTACAACTAGATTTTACTTATCGTAGCGTTAACCAGAGATGAATCTCAGAACAGGTGATAACTTGTTTACTACTGCATCATGGAACTTTATTACGCGGATAAGGAGACAAAGCTCAATTCATACAACATAAGTGGGTTCCAAACATATTGCTTAGCGTAATCTTGCTGAAGCAAGATTTTTTGTTTCTGATACTAGCACAAGGTAAGACGGTATGCGACGAGCTGCAGTCCTTGGGGATTTTTTTTTTACTACAAAGGCCTCTGATTCATCTTCCAGTTATCTGCAGCCTTCCTTATTTACTTGTGCGCAACTGCCTCAACTTCACTGCTACAGCATTCACCGTAGCGACTACAAATGTCTTTCCGGAAAAGGTTGGATTATGTTCTAATTACCCTACATCTTGCACTGTTCCTGATATGTTTAACTCAACGCCTAACAGTAATGCTTGCTGACATTCAGCTGCTTGCAAACACAGGTAGGAGCCAAACTTGTCTCTGTTTAGTGTTTTTCAAACCTTTACAATGAATTATACCACTGCATTAATATCTCAAGGTGGTGAGTACATCACCATTTTCAGGTGTCATCGACTAGTCTATCATAATTTCTTTAATCGACTAGTCTATCATAATTTCTGACCACATGGACAAAGTAAACCGACCAACACAGAAGAAATCATGTGATGAGTCAGAATACAATAACTTTAAGTAGTTCTTGATGTGATGATGCTCAGTGCACTAATGTCCACTGTCTGCTGCGGCTAGTCGTCTCATATGGTAAGGGTCTTCATAAAGCAACTGGACTAATGTTTCGGAAACACTTCCTCTAGACAGGGACACAAGATCGTAACACAGAAAAATACTACGACGCCATACTTTCCGGGGAGATTTACCCGGAAAAACGGGAATTATCGATATTTTGGTTCAGAAGCGGCATGCTTTGCAGCATGACTCATTGCCCCCGCCCCACTCCCTCTCCTTTCCCACCTCTCGTGCATCCCAACACGTAACGCGGGCCGCTCGCGACATCCATTACTCGCATGGTGCTTTGTGTGCCATAAACCACTATTGCATTGTGGATCCTACAACGATATATGCAGTGATGGATTACGGTATTGCCGCAGTCAAGACTTGTCTCTGTGTAATGTAAAACATGATTAGTTCGATTCAGCAAGAGTGTAAAGGAACCCACTGGATGGGTTGTTACTCCATATCTGTTGTATTTACGTGATCAACAGAAGTGCTGAAGTCATCATTGGCATTAATCGCGAAGGTGATGTGTACATTACCGTTCTCAGGTGTCACACACGTAGAACATATGATGGCTTGGCGGTGGGTGACAGCACACAATGGGCAAGTTATTCATTACTCGTTTAAGATGATGACGGTACGAAAAGCCAGCACATCGTCAGCGAGAAACGTTTGATACACTTGCTATTTGTATGCGCATACAGGTAATTCTTGTGTTCGTGGCGAAGTCTAAAATAGCACACAGCGGATTGATCCCTTTTAGCTCATGGTTCTGTGTACGAGGAAAAAGGAAGTATGCGATGGGAATTAATGGGAAAGTTGTGGTGAGTGGTCAGGAGGAACACCTAGAGCTCCCCACCATCCCACCGAAGCCTAAAACTTTCACTGACTATTTTTACATGACTATTTTTTACAGGAGGAGGTGGAGTCAGCCTAAGAAAGGTCATGCTCTAGGTTGTGTACCACTTCGTAACCGTATTTGCATCTAACCTTTCCATTTGAAATTGCTCTTTATCTCCATTACCAAAAGCTCGTATTTCGTATTTCTTCCTTTCTGTTATTTTTTTAGGCGTCATTTCCTATAGTGAGTAAATTTTAACTGTGGTCACCGGTAAAACATGAAGGAAATGAATTTAAATTGAGAGTAATCAGAAGCTGAAAAAGTGATGGCAGTAAGACCTAGCTTTTAAGGCCAGTAAAGTTATTACGAATGGGCTATGACGTCATGAGGGTCGTTTTCCTTCGTTCTATTCATTATGGAGGCGACTGTACGATAAGATGGAGACATCAGAAAGAATATATATCCAGTATTTTCTCTTACTGCAAATAAGAACCTCTGCTATGAAGCGTCTGTAGTCCGTTAGTGAAGTGAATTTAGTAGCTTTTGTTCTAATACTAAATAGTACTTTTAAGTGACCATTTAATTGTGGGCGATGAAGTTAACAAGAGGAAATGACTGTATCTTATCAGTTTTGAAGAATATCAATGGGCCAGCCTGACAGAGGATATAAAGGCACAGGAAATAGTAAAAATGAGAAGTCACTTTTTTTAGTGGATTAACTCAACAGAGCTTAACGAAAACAACAGTAGGTCCTCAAATATATGAGGCATGTGGCTTTCGTATTTGATTTTTTTAGATTAAAAAGCTTCTAAACACCGTCGTGCTCAACATTGTCAAATAATGTGAAACTGAACAGTTCACGTTTACCACTTCAAATTTTTATGTGACTGCTTACAAAGTTAATGCTGAATGTATATTTGAATAGAAATGGATGGAACTTCCGGTCAAAGACGATTGTTTATTTTGGGTTTGTATCATATCTTATAGTTTTAGCTTTATTAAATGTATATCAGTCTGTGTGTCGGTTCGCTATGTGTGCCCCTAAGGTTTGATTACTAGCATGTAGTAAATTTGGAAACAAGGTATTAACTACTGAATTGTTAGAGATACTTCATACACATGATATATATACAGAGAGACGTTTCTGTAAGGAGCGGCTATTGATGTTTGCGATGGAATGGACAACGAAGGATGAAAGGAGTATTGGCGTTAATCGCAGCAGACATTGAGCTAGTCGTATCTGAGAAAGTAACTGACATTTTGAAATAGACAGTGGAGCAGATGGATATGAAAATAGCACATAAATGACGTTATTTTGTTAATGGGCTTTCAAATGTCATCAAGACGGATACAGTTAATTGCCATATCTGTGATGGGATTACACCAGAAATGGATACAACAGTCTCGTATCTTGTTGTATTGTTAAACACATCGAGAGTCCAGACACACTTTTCTCCTCCGCTATTATTTACCTATCTTAGCTGCAATCTGCAGAACAAAGGAATTATTGTCGTGCTAGGGTAATGTTGACGAGATATACGGTGCTTAATTATACTCTAAAAATTGAAATGTGCAAGTTGCAAGCTTTGGTGATCGCATTAACACATGACGTTTGGTACAACAAAGTAACAGTAACAGATCAGAGTTAGCAGAAGAGTCTTACCACTGCAGAAGAGTCTTTGCTACTATATTTTTGGGTCTTAGCAACGCGTCTATGTACTTCATCATACGGCGAATCCATTTCATAACAATTTTATTGCAACTTCATCCATTTTTAAAGTAATAGAGAGGTGATTTTTATCTTTTTTACTGTTAATGTCATTCAATTACATATTGCTTCGTTACAGAAATTTTGCCACAATTATCAAAATACACTTCATACTGTACAGAAGATTTTTCAATCATTTGAAACAAGTCACTTTGTGGCATAGAATAGCTCCAACAAATTGTACATCCATGTTGAGTATGAACGAAGTTTGATTGATGAACAAGCAGTGATTGCACTTAAATCAGACATTTTACTAATCTTCAACTTGTAGCGAAAATGCAAGTCACGTCATTTTCCCATCACAAATTTTTGTTCTGCAGAGAATGCAGCACTCGTGGGATGCATTTCTTGACATTTATTTGTGTCATTACTCTTGCTAAATATTCACTTTTTTATCTACCGAAATAAAAATAAGTATGAGGCTCTGGATAAATGATAAGTACTGTCAAGTTGTATAGTAGTCGTTTCGCTCTTGATTAGTAATTTTGAGATATGAGAAAAAATTTCTTCCCATATCGTCAATTTTCACATTTGAATCAATAATAACTACAAATAATCACTGCAGAGAACTCTAAGATTTATTGTAACAATTCTTGCGCACCTTAAATTAACATTCATTGCTGACACAAATTCCAATATTTTGCCAACTATACTCTTGATTTTTCAAGAATTTCGCTAGAGCAGGTATGTAATTTAGATTTAAAATCAAATTGAAGACTGGGACTGTTTTTTTACACCTTTTGAAACAAAAAGCTGTATTCTGCAACAAAAAATACAGATCCTAAAGTAATATCATAATAATTACTTTATAAAAAGATGGTGAAATCACAACTTAAAATTGAACTTGAAGGTACAATACTAACTTCAGCATTGATAAACAATATAGCAGATGTCAGACCGATCAAAACGCCAGAACACGCCATCTACACATAAGAGAACTAAGGATGCATTTCATTGTGCTCAAACCTAAGATATCCGCACATCTTCCTTTCATATCCTAACTCAAAACGCATTAACTTACTATAGAGCCCTCACTCTCTTCCTAATCCAACACTGCATAGTGAAGACAATATATAATATCTTCAGTACTTTCTTTGAATTATGTGTTACAGATGTTTCATAAAATATTCGGTAGTAATTTCAGTAGTAATCTAGGTAGATCTAACACAATTTGACGTGTAAGAAATATCAGCCTACACACCTTTGTCCTATTAAACAAACTTGGTATCTCTTAAACTCGATTCAACTTTCTCATATGTCTTATAGAATACGTACAGGTCATTGCAACACACTACAAATAATGCAAAATGGATATTGAAGTCATTCCAATCCTACTTTTACTGTAAATTGACAAGTGATCTGGGACAATGTTTTTGGGCATTTACTACTATAACTGCATATATTAATTTCAACACAAACAGATCATGTTATCATTTATATTTTCGCCAACTACAGTGAAACTCAGAGGTAACAATCTAACATAAAACGGATGCATCAGTTACCTTATACATGAAAGAGCTTTCAATAAAAACAATGATCACGCCAATATGTGGGCAAATTCAATAGAGCTCACAAGTTGAACAAAGTTAATAACAGATGAAGACAATTCATAAAGTCATGAATACCAGAAAATATCCTGTGTCATATGAACCGAGAAATACAACATTAAAAAACTTAACTCAGTAAAATAATCATACTATTCAAGATTAGTTACTTTACTATAACTACGGGAAGTTGGCAGCTATGAAAAATAATGAATTTAAAACGTTTACATAATAAAAAACAGAGAAATAACTAATATTTAGAATGCACGATGAAAAATAAATTCGTAAAGTGGGGAAGAAAGAGAAAATCTAAAAATTATTTTCAAAAACTTTAAGTGCAAATTAAATCAGAGATAGAAGAATAAGGTAAGTGTGTGAAAGGTAGCCTGATTCAGTATTTGACTAGAAAAATCTGACTAAATGCTTGAAAAAACAGGTTAAAAAAGATTGTAGTTAAAAATAATATCAACACACTGGTTTGATATTCAATTACTATTAATTATTAATAAGATACAAAAAATAAGTATTCAATGACAGGTAATACTATAAATTAAAAACGGAACGGCCAATTCAATACAAAAGATTCTGTGAGAATTTTCAATTTCGAAAACATTGAAAAGCAAAAACAAAATAAAAGTGAGTAAAATGAAGAACCACTTTCTGAGTCTAAGTTTCTATACGAATACCATATACATGAATGAATTAAGAGGAAATGCATCACGAATCTGCAATAAGATTACTTCAAAAACAGCTAAAAAGCTAACTCCCCACTCATATAAGTATTTTTTAATCTCTTTACGTTTAATTTACATGTATCATTACTACTGAGAGATTCGGAATCACAAGCGCAATTGTTAGAAATGTTACTTAAGACTCTTTTTTCCTTAATATTAAAAAAAAATATTTTTCTTAATAAAATCTTTAGCAAACTATAAACACTTCTACTAAATCTCACGAAACATTTTATTTTGACAATTAATCAAGTTTTGTACTTCCACATTGACCAGCATGCGTAGAAAATTTGAATGTAATTTTTAAACCTAAGAAACACTTTAAATCTGGCGTTATTAGAGGCCAATGGTTTGAAGAGTACTGACATTCAGCTTAGTGATTTCTTCATAAATATCTGCTTCACGCCGTTCCTTTTTACCATTTCGCATTTCATAATCAATCCTAAGCACAAACTTTTGTGAAGTACATAAAGATACTTCCAAGCTTAAACAGATAAATGAGTCACAAAAACAACTTTCATAATAATAATAATAATTTAAAGAATCTAAAGTAAAAGATTTGGCCATTTTTTGATAGAACGTTATATTTTTTAATTCGCTAAAAACAAGCCATTCACAGAATGATAACCATAAGAAATTGATTAAATGCAGCAAATTTGAAAAAATCTATACTTGGTTGTACATACCTATGATCAATGATCCTTGTTATTATCTGATCGGTAGACATATTGTTACCAGAATCAATTAACCGTAACATACCCTTTTCTCTTGGTACTGAAAATGGATCTGGTTCACCAGGCATCTCATGACCTGGAATTCGTGTCCCTTTCGCGACAATCTAAAATAGTAATGGTTAACTGATAAAAATAATACATTTTTAAAAAGAGATCTACAGTAACTGGCGAAAAGAAAGAAGCAAGCAAAAATTACTTCATTAAGAGCATGGATTGTTAGCGACCGATTTATTTTTTAGCATTTAGTTCAAGAAGCACTGGAGTACCTGCACTTTAAATTTCAAAAACTCTGAGGAAATTATACCTGTATATTGAATCGACTGATTAATTCTTCAGTGACTGCATACGGGGCACCAATTACCACCTCTGACACTGGCTGAAAAGAATATAAACAGTTTTAATGTAAAAATAATGACCAAAAGAGAGTTCATCTGTGAAAATAAATACTATATTTAATATCAATGCAACTTGAGAAAACTGCTTTTAACTCAACAACGAATTAATGAGCAATGGAGATTTCTTACTTTGTATGCTAGTACACTGAGTACGCGTTCATGTAGCGACATTATTGGATGATTCCCGCGTTTATAAGCATTCACCACCTAATAGAAACATCATAAACATAACAAGTGAATGCAGTAAAAATTTATAAGTACAGAAGCTTAAAACTTGGTGTATATTATGATTGAAATATCTTATGCCTTGTCATGGTGAATTCCGACGATAAGATAATCTCCCAACTTTCTTGCTTCTTCCAGAAAACATAAATGGCCAATGTGGAATAGATCAAATGCACCGCAAACATATACAATTACGTCGTTTTTTCCAGGTGAATGGCCTTCAGCAAACTGCATGATAGTCCGTGTTGATGGTAAAAAGCAAGACACTCTTGTCCATGGTGATAAAGCTTTTTGGTCCTTTAAAATGAAATAAATAAATTTGCTGGCTTTTACAACTATTATAAATAAGAACTGAATGCTTTGAAACATTGCAAGATTTCGTAACTAAAAATCTTACCTATATCTTGTTATAAATATTTATAGTACGAATGAACTTATCAACGATAGAACAAACCGTAGAAAGAAATCGAGCTCTTTCTTCGTGTTCGGTGATATTATCTGCGAATGAATGGTGAGTTTTTGTTAACAATAACATACGTCCAACCAAATCCTGGAAATTTGGAAACAAATTCAATAAAGAAAAACAAATTTCCGATAATTTCAATAAAAACAAGCTTTCGAAAATCTTGCAAATGAGATTTAAATGGAATCATACACCGACAATGAATTGCTATTAACCGTAGTAGAAATTCCAGGTGTTCGCATACATTCACGATAACGCCCACATTTTTTAACATCTGCATATGTATCATTACCATCTGCCGTCAGTGTAATATCATCTGTAAAAGTCACTATTGCAGAAATGCGAGATATGACTACAAAAAGCTGATAAAGGATGTATACCTCCGTGGACACAAAAATCACAATTATATTTATCAAGTGTTTCAACTGTTGTTACATATGGTGCACCTTCAACCACCTAAAAATACTATAAAATTTTAGAAAAGGTGTATTAAATGAGTGTCATGAGTATTTATTAAAAAGAACTGGAATAAAAAGTATTTTTGCAGAATAAAATCAGAGGAATCCAATAAGCTTGCTTGCCTCATCAACCCATTTTATACCGCGAACCATGCGGTATCGTTCTTCTTCACTAAATACAGGTGGACCTTTGTGAAGCTGAATTTCCTCATCAGTGTGCACTCCAACAATTAAATAGTCACCAAATTGCTTAGCTTGTCGCAACTGATTAGCATGACCGAAATGCACCATATCGTAACTAAAAATATTTGAAACACTGTGAATTTACAATTAGTAATACCATTGATATAAGTAAATAAAATGAACTAAATACGAACCATCCATCACACCATACTCGCACACGCTTTGACGGACCATTTTCTGTATTTGGAATAGCTTGAAATGATTTACTGTTGGAGGTGTCTTCGCTGTCAACATTTCCCTCACGGTTACTCATTCAGATTGTGTACTTTGTGAATTAGTAATAGTAACTTGGATATTAGATCTACCAACTAGTACCAAAATTTGAAGAAAGATCAAGGTTATAATCATATGGTTTACCTGCAACATGCATACAAGTACTAAGTCTAATTACTTTCAAAAAAGACAAATATCAAACGCCCACACACATGCTTTAAAAACATGTAATCAATGAAAAATTATTTCTCGCTGTCATCGGCCGAAACAACGAAATAGTAACAAGCAAGTATTATTGAAGCAATGAAAAGTGAAAAATATGCGGGCGACGATGTAGCACACGTAATTTATTGCGTGCACTGTGCAATGGTACTTTCATCGTTTAACGTAATGGTGTATTTATTTGAGAGAGTAATGGAATGGAGAGATGACAATAAGTAGTGGTGTATTTAAACTAGTCAGTGTATAACAAAAGTTTTTTCAAGCACAGAAAATGAATAAAATGGAGCATACAAGAGATACACACGTATAGCGCTGTATGGCAGCAGATGACAACTAATATTCGCTGCACTCAAAGTAATGATAGCATGAAGGGAATTTTCAGACAGTGCAAAACATTTACAGGTTTCAGACTTGCTGCTATTGATAGTATCAATTTCAGCTTGTCTGAACCTGCAAAAGAGGGAGGAAGGACGAGAAATGTACAGCACTATTTACTTATTGCTTTATGACCTCAGTTCTTGTCATCACACTCCTTCTTCTGTCTGCTTGAGATAATTGGAAATGGCTGGCTTAAGATGTCTAGAGGTGTATCGTTGACACTGTTACGTATGCCGATAGCACTGATCAAATAGCAATAATGTTTGCTCGCAGTTTGGAAAGTGTAAGAAGAGCGAAGCGGTTGGTAGCGAGTTGCTTACTCCGTCTTAAAAATACTCCGCTTTTACAACATAAAATAATTATTCGATCAATTTAAAAAAACTTTACGTCTAATTGTGCTTCATACCTGATTGAATAAGCAATGAAATTAATGTCAGTTAAGAAGGCAAATGCACAACTATAAGTCACTCGAGTAGCTAATAACTTGTTTCGATTTAGTTATTTGACGTCTTGAAATCACTGTCTGTACACTATGCAATTTTGTTTAATTCTTCCCTCCAAATATTGATGCAGAAACGGCGCGTTACGCAGCTCTAACTTATGGAATTTTTATTCAAATTCAAAATCTTTCTTCTCTATGTAACACAGTTAAGGTTAGACAAAAATGTATACAATGAAATAATTTTATTACACTGTGCAACCAACGCACTGCGTATAACTGCGTATCATCTGAACAGTATTACATTTAGTTGGTCAATTTAATATCCAAAAATCCAGTAATAGAATTAGAGAGAAGTCCTATAATAACAGTCCCATAACTATGTTAATGAGAACATGGAAGAAGTGACCAGAATTCCTTTCACTCGTCCCTAACAATATTAACAAATCGTTTTACAAAGTGACTTTCATCGGATGAGACGAGTAGCGGTCAGCAACTAAATTGACTCCCAAAAATTTAATCCGCCCAATTTTTAAATGCCTGTTTTTTAAATTGTCAAATATACCTAATGCGAAGAATAAAAGCCAAAAGTATAAATAATAAGATACAGGTAGTGCAATCATTCACAGACTGCAAAGAAATAAATGAATACTCATTTCTCATGCAAGCTTCGTTCGTGCCAGTTGTTACTTCCACGATTCCATAATTACTTTCATTATATTTTCACCGGCTGAAATGATAAAACATACGATTTACCCCTTGTAACATCAGCTTTGTACCACATATTCCTTCCAAGCACGAAGTTATTGGAGCAAAGCAAACACAAAAATTCTTCTTTTAACGCTTAATCCGTCCGTCAACATAATGTTCTGACACTGCTCAGTACCACCATACTGAAACTTTCATGAATCTCATTTTAAAATTTTGTTAGGTCTAATTTAGAATTAAAATGGATGGGAGTTTTACTCCATGGTTGTACAACAATTCATTTTCTGAAAGATTTAGTAAGGCACTAAAACATGAAGTTAAAACATTTTTAGGTTTCCAAGCACCGCCTAAAATTAAGACACGATGAGCAAAACGATCATAAAAGAATTTAGGAAAATGAAGAGAAACTGAGCGATACTTGTATCGAAAACTGGAACAGTAAAGTAGCCTCAGACTGAATCGAAATCCCCATCTATTACGCATGGTAAACATCACTGAAATTTGACTGAAAAATCACATCCTACAGTTCTATAATACTAAACGAAAAAAACAGATACTTGCTTATACAATGGTACAGAAGGATTATAGCAGCCAAGGATGGTACTGCTTGATGGTACCATAATGCCAATTGAGAGAATTTGCCACAAATATGATCTATGTCTACTCTACCTCTTTTTTAGCTTTTGAAAACTTTGTTTTCAATAGGCAGCAGACGTGGAGTAATATGTAATCAGAAAACAGTATATCAAAACGCTTTATAAGAAGAGAACAAATAAAAGTATAATCTAGGATGCTGCTCAAATAAGTTTCTAAAACAAAATAATGGGGGCGATAAATGATAGACTACTTTGATTTGATACTTCCAAATAACCGTTTTTCGCTTAATCCATTATTTCCTTTTCTTTCCTATATTATCAAAATTCACAAGAATAACAATAGGATTAAGTAAAAAACACCAACATCTATAGCAACAAAAGTTTTTAATGATGATGAGATGCTAGAGAGGATTAGAGGGAACATAAAACGCGTTAATCGAGATAGAGAGACATTGATCTGGAGGTAAGAACTTGAACCAGCTTGAAAGTGAATCGAGACTAAAGTGAGATCCAGAGAGCATCTTCTTAAAAATATTTTCGACTATTCAGGTACTTAAATAGCTTTTCTAAGTATCTTAAAAAATCATTTAGAAATGCTGCGCTCTTTATCACAGCAACCAAGATCATACAATAAAAGCAAAAATGATTAACATCAAAAAGGCATTACGCAGAAGCACCATTCTCACTAAATTTTTAGTCATAGAAATATGCAAGAATCTTTAAATGATATTAGTTTAAAAATGGCCGCAACAGTTATGGTTATACATTCTTATACATTCTTTTCTTTTTCTTAGTTCAGAGACCCACGACAGTTGGGTGCTCCACAAAGACAATCAATCTTGTTTTTTTCAACTGGAAACTTATAATCATAAGTTATTTCCTCGCCTTTATCGATCGATAATCTGCTATAGATGACAATTCTTTTTTCACCACCAACAACGATAACTTTTGCATAACAGTTCGGTTGACACGAATGATTAATAAATCGAGCCAAATTTCCCATTTGTGTAGCATCAATTACCTGCAAGATCGTTAAAAAAAGGCAAATAAATATAAAATGCATATTTTTGCCAAGCACTTATATTGAGAGTCTATAATACTGTTCTTAATATGAAGAAGGAATACAGATGCAAATAAAAATTGTGAAACTTTAAATGTTGTTACATTCAGAACTGCTCATTTGTCTGACAAACACTGAGAACATACCAAAATTTCTCAAGCAGCTAACTTACATAATCAGAATCAATACAAAACAAATAGCTGGAACCAATTCCACGCTTTTCGTAAAGTTTTTCGCGTACATCTGCCACTGTAGGTCGTATTTTTTGTCCAATATATTCAATGACTATTTCATCAGGAGCTATCGCCTCCAAGGCGTATAATCCCCAGCCATGAATTTTCGAACGTGCAAATTTAACCAATTTTCTGCGAAGCTGAAAACCATGCTTTTTTTTAAACGAACAGAAGTTACTAAAACTGGGCTGACTCCTACTTTTTGCCATTTTTGTAAATATACTTGTAAACTTTTCAAGTTCACATTTTAAAAAATGCTATCAGAAGCAAGATGTGACACCAATTTCTAAGTTACTGAGAACTACAGAAAGAATAGTGGTGAATTAACTCTAAAATATATTGAATATTTCCTACTGAGAAATAAACGAATACTCAGAAAAACAGATCTGCAGAGTTTGGGTGCTATGATAAGTACTGTGAATTCGAATTCTAAACTCTCAAAATCCATTCAAAAATAGTGATTTTCCGAGCATCACTAAAGCTAACTAATCTTCAAAAATTGCATATTTTTTGATGTTTGCAATTCTTCGCAATTTCGATATTACTGCAGAACGAAATTACTTGTTAGTAACGTTTCAGGTAACATGATGAAAATAAAAATCACTGCTATGTTTCATCTACTAATTATTAATAGTAATCTGGACAACTAAAATAATTTCAACTTTATCTATCAAAAATAATTCCCTCAAGCACTGTTTATTTTAAGTGGAAAAAATTTTTGAAGTACTGTGAGATGATTGATTTTGTATATATCAGAAGAAACACTCATTGTTGTTAACAAGCACCGACTGGTGTTATGAGCTTCTCGCGACAGCTGCATCGACAACTGACTTCTGCTATTTTCCTAAAACACGATAAGAATAGTAGCAATAATGACAATAAGGACAAATAGCGACCCAAATAATATAAAACTTCTGATTAAAATTTCATACAATTGAAAAAAGTCAATTAGTGAAAAATAAATCCATTCAACTTTTTATTAGAACAGACGTGCCAAAAAAAAATCGCGGAAAAATTTTCTGCATCTCCCACGTCACAAAAAGTGTCTCTTATTTTTTAGGAATTATGTGTCATTACAAATTTTCTTAAAATATGAAAAGCCATAATTAACACAATTTATTTTTTCATTCACCTTCCTCAGAAAAATATCTGCCTGTCGTGAAACACCTCTCTTATCCTCGCGAGATGGTTTATAGTAACCTTCTGTGCGAGCACATCCTGAGAAGTGCGGTATTACTTCTTCTAGCTGCAATTAAAAAATGCTCAACTGAATATTCACAGCGAAAGAAATTTATTCGTTGAATTATGAGTCATTCTTTCCATGTAGTACAACAAAATTTACTTTACGATCGTCGTAATAGTTGACATGTTTCCCGTTTTTCTTTGATTTATCCTGGAAAAATTTTCTGAACTGATTTTTTGAACAAAAATTGATTAGTGGAAATGTAACTGCGACACTGAATAAAAATACTGAAGTAATACCATCACCAAATACCAGCTAAACCTTACCAACTGACGAACACTAGGTACTTCCTTTGCTACCCAACATAGTTTCTTATTCCACAGTGCCATCTCGTTATTTTGTAACATATAAAATGATTCTTCCAAAAACTTCAAATCTTCTTGATCTAGTCCCTCCTTGAAGATAAAAAGTACCAGTCCATAAAAAATATGTATATGAGAAATTATGATAAGTTTTAAAAAAGTAATTTTGGGAACACTATGTAAAAAAGAACAATTTCTGTAGAAAATTAACTTTTTCAAATTTGAATAAGATCTCTCTTTCTTCATCAGCAGTTCGTTTCCTCCACTGCTGAGAAAATTGCCATATTTTTTTACATGAAGAGCGTTTAACACTTGATGTTAATGGAACTAAAAAATTAAGGTCATTTTGATGTCATTTTATACAAATAATTTTGACTTTATCTTATACAAATCACTATATCAGAAAAATTTTAAATGTTTTTTAATGCATAGTGGCCCCAAAATAGTCATAACTGTGCTATTAACAACTATGTACCGTCATCAATCGTAACATATGATCGCTGCACAAGTTTCTCATTTCTTCCAATATTTTTCGCCTGATGGGATTTGAAATATGTCATTCTTTTACTACTGTTTACTGACACAGAATTTTCCAGTTCTGTTCTCAACTGCTTCCATAGTTCTATACGAAGATAGCAATGATCATTACAGTATGCTTCCATATTTGCAATATCGAATAGCTAAATATATCAACAATTTGTTGTAGCGTAGTCTATTAAAAAATTTTAATCAGTTGATACTTTTGAATAAATTTCAAATGTGTGCATGCTTCTATTCAAATTTTCTAAATACTGCGTTATCGAATTCAGTTTAAAAAGTAAGATTTAAATTGAAAGCTGAATTCCCACATTAAATGAGAACGGAAACTTCATCAAAAAAACTTAAACTAACCCATTTCGATTAGAGCTAAACTCATTTCATAAATTTCTAAAAAAATCCTAATGCATCACAATGATTTGTAAAAGCATTAAGAAAATACTAAAAAATGCACATCCGTTATGCTCCCATTTCTTGAATCTGATTTCCTGGTAATTTCATTATTTTCTATTAATTGCGAAGTTGCTCTCCTGGAATATAATAAGAAACACTGAGTTTCTTAGCAGAGTAATTATAAACTTGTTCGAATTAAAATACATAATTAAAACAAAGTCATCTGGAGCATTCAAAGGTTTCAAAAAAGCCATCAAAAATTCAAACCTAGATTCTATCCTATCCCATTCAACACACTTATCCTTAATTCCAAGCGATAATCCTGAAAAGAGCAAATGTCGCATGTAAAGCATCGGTGAAATATTTTACCAGCACTTTTGCGAGCAGCAAATATAATAGAGTGAAGACTTAGTCCTGGGGCTCCAGAACTTTGTACGTCACTTCCAAACTTAAATATCCATTAAAAATTCGTAGCTGCGACAGACAAACTCAGTCAGAAATAAATGTCAAAACAGCATACGTACGTGCACGCCACTTCCAAAAAAGTAAGTATTTCTCATAATGCTTTTTGAAAAATCTGGGTTTTTACGCACCAGAAAAAGTATGTAGTTGTTTTACTGGTTCTTTAATACAATCCGCTCCAATTCTTTTGAGTTTTTGCTTCTGTTTTTCGTTTCCTTCATCATCTTCCTTATCACTCTCTGATGTAAAATAAAACATGTTTTACTAACACTTTCTTCTCGAAGACATGAGGATGGCATATTCTAATGATGCATTTTCATAACAGCTTCTGAAAAACATTCATAATACTGTGCTCAGTATTACTGAATATATTGAGTACAGTATTATGAATGTATACTAAAACAACACGGAAACTTGCTCAATGACAAATGAAGAAATTCAAAGTGAAAATGAAATATGCAAGCTCACAGCAGACTGAATAATCCTTACGAAATCTGAATCTTGAATCACTTAGATGAAAAAACTTTACTTTCTGATCACAATAATCTTAGTTTGAACTCAATTTTCACGACAAATTTTCATACTTTTAATTTGAATTGCACCGTCTTCATCTTCTAGTTTTGTTACGTCCTCCAAAATACTACTGCATCTATCGTGAACGCTACTACCCCTGCCATTACACTTTAGACCAGATACAGATTCTGAACTACTCAGTGAATGTGTATAAGCTGAACTTGGAGACCTGCTTTTGCTTCTAGATGTGAACTGTTGTTTCGTTTTTGGTGATAGATGCATTTGTTTCTAAGAGCAAAAGTACTACTTAACATCGGAAATTAAAGTTTTTGAGATGAACATGAAGAAATTTACGTCTCTAGTGGCACATTGTACAAAACTATAGGAAGTATTAAATTCCTTTTATTTACTTGATTAAGCATCAACTCGACCACAAACTATCGACACTTAGCAACAAATATAATTATTAGAGAATACTTGAGATAAAATTTTCACAACCTCAAAAAAATATACATTGGTATGAAAATTAGAATTTATATACCTGATCTTAAGAAGATGAAAGAACAAACTTTTTCGAAAGGTGGTACATTCCGCACAATACGAAAATCTTTGAAAAAATGCCCGCTACCCAAAACCGTCGCAGCATCAGGTCTCAATGCTGACAAAATCTCAGCTCTTGTCTGCTCTGTTACTGGTCGGACTGTTTCATTTAATGAATCTTTCAATCTACAGAAAGTTCTTAAACTATAGCAAAAATTATTAAAATAACTGACTTTGAATGAGATCAAGTTAATGAGTGTCACAGTAGATATAATCCGGAATTTTTTGTTGCCATAGTAGCTTAGTAAGGGAATTCACGAATCTCAGTCCATTTCTTTAAAAAGTACTTATGAAAACAAGTTTTATACCAGTAGTAAACTTGATGGAAAAAAGTGGAACTGAAGTTTCGTCTCCACTCTTTATATTTTCTGACATTCGGAATAATACCAAAATGATCACAATTACCTCAATGTTTCCTTAATTTCGAATGGACTGAATGCATTTATGCGAGGGATTCCAGTCTGATCATATCTGGGATCCCCATCATCTTCCCAAAACATGAGAAAACGGATCACAGTTTAAAATCTTGCTTTTATTGGAGACAGTTTTTTAGTAAAGATTTATACAATATAAATGACGTTACAGTGATACCGCTTTAAAAATTTGATAGTCTTTTGAAACTAATATGAGAAATAACGATGCTATACCCTTTGACTTTAATCTAGAGATGAAACACTTAAAAATCTTACCTCAACAATCCTGAGTCTCTTATATTTCATCCATCTCTCTAACTTTCGAAATGCAATACTGTTGATTCTCCACAAGAGATCCCTCACGAGCACATTTCTCAAATCCTTAGAAACTTCCTCATACATTGCATCTACATAATTATCACGAGACGCTATCTAAAACATGAAAACCCATCCATATCGGGAAATTCTGTAATAAAATAAAGGCTAAACACATGTATAGTAAGTACTCTCACAACCTTCATTCCCAGAACTTGTTGTCTGGATATTATCCGATTTTCTTTTCCTAATTCTTTTTTGGCTTCCATTTCTTCATTTCTAGGCCATTTACTTTGCTTAGACATCATGTGACTCTTATGTATCTATTCAATCCTCTGACTCAACAAATTTCCAATGGTGATGAATAAGCTGAAAAGTTATCGAACCAAGCCAGACTGAACCTAATGAATCAATACTCGATTCATCAACCAGATAAAAAGCTTATTCTCTTGTCTCTTTTTCTTAGCATTAATTTAACTAATATAGGAAGTTAACTGAAGATTGAAAATGTTGGTCACTGATGACAAGTCTGGAAACACCATACTGAAATTATTTATTCCAGTGTACGTTGACTGGTTCAAAATTCAATATGCTATTTATGGACAGAAAATGTTTGCCTCAATGGTCGTACATGAAGTAGAATTATACTGTGATCAAACGTAATTTACTGCTGCGCCTCTACTCAAGATGCGTTATTAAAGTGCAACTACTTCGAAATTACAGACTAGAATTGAAACTCAGTGAGTCGCAAGGCATAAATTTAAATCCAGTCACATGATTTCCATAATAAAACAACTTATCAATTTAGGATTATTAGTAAGCAAAGGTTGAAGTACAGCAAAAATTAAAAAAGGGAAGAATGAAAGACTATTCATGCAAGCAGATTTACACAAAAACTGAAATACTCCTTCATTTAATGAAGATAATACATAACTCAAATTTGAATAAATCTTGTCAGTAGATACTTTCGTATCGTTTTCAAAAGATGTGAAAGCGTGAAAGGATTTTGTTGAAGACAAATAAGAGTTTATCACCATTTGACACTCAATATAGTAGTAAAGATAAAATACAAGGTGAAGAATTATTTCAAGATCTGCAAAAAACTGGAATTATGAATCTTGCGGAGAGTGCAATCGAATCAAGAGACTGCAAAACATAAAACTGCAATGAATTATTATCGTAAGAGTGAAATGCCATAGATTATGGAATTAATCTGAAATGAGACGAGGCTGAGGGAATTACAACACCTGATACTTCTTCATATGTCTCAATGAAATGAGAAATAAAATGCAGTAAGTGATGGAAAATTCCCATGGTGATGGTTTTTTTTGCTTTAGAAAAAAAACTCCGTCACTACAACAATATATACCAGCCGATAAATAAACAAACAATGGAAAGTACATCTGATTTTATACAAAAATTAATGATCTATGGCAATTAACATGCAATCTGATTAGTTGCTATTGCATGTTACTTTTCTAATAAAACATTTCGTTACAGATAACAACTAATGCTTACATACTTTTCTTTCTTTTCAATGTTCAATGCATTTTCAGAAACATAACTAAGGTCAATATGATGCAGTAGCAACAAAAATTACTCCAGTGTAAGTTTACATACAAGAATTTCGAGTATACTAATTCCAGTACTTTACTGGAAGCTGATCGAAAAACATTAGCTAGTCCCTGCTTATAAAATGCGTAAACCATCAGAGGACGAAATTCTGAAAAGTTTTGGAATTCCTTGATAACTTTTCTGAATCTAAATCAGGAACTGGCAGTAATAAAGTTGATTCATTTTCTATAATATTTTGATGTTTAAAAACATCTTAAATAAAATGCCACTTTTTTTTTCGCATTTAAAAAACAATAATGATAGGTAATTAAGTTACGTGTACATAAACCTACAGTTAAAATTCTTTTCAAAAACTGACCTGGCAAATCGCAGCACTCAGAAAATCTTTACTGAGCATTGCTAGATGCCATCTATAAATAACTCTCCAATTAGGAATTTCTTACTCGTTGATATTGGTTCTATTCGGCCCTTCAAAAATTTGGAATTGTCTTCAGGACACATTCAAACAAGTTAAGCATAGCTAAACATAATTAAAATGCTTACAACATTTTCAACCTTTACAACTTCAAAACAAACTGATAGCAAAAGCTATGTTTAGAAGCTGTTTAAAAAAATTACTATCACGCAAAGATGAACCGAAATTTTCAGTCAGCGTTCATTTATCGCAGAACTAAACTCAGAAATACGTTTACTTGTTTTAAAAATGAAAAGGCGGATTTCAAAATACGAAAACAATAGAATTTTTCCATTTTCAAACTATTGCTATGTAGTAAAAAATTTAGTAGATACAACACTTTATAAATTCGCCATCTTTCAAGAAATTATTTTATAGCCTTAGGTAGTGCACATAACTGAGATGCTTCCTTAGAACAACTCAAATTGTACAGATGTGCATAAGTTTAAGCATATAGTTTGTTTCACATATAAATAATTTGCGAAGACCTACCAAACTTAAATTCACTAAAGTGCATTTTCCAATATGAACAAGTTATTAACAGATGATTTGTACGATTTCTGAAAGAGGAATCGCCTGATTTTACTTGTGAATCTTTAGTTGATGATGATTTTTTCCACTTACACTTGCATCAGGAACTTCTTAGTCTCTGAAATAATTTGTAGCGGTCAAATAAAATAGTTTTAAGATGTAAAAAATCTATAGGTATGGGATGTATCTGAATAAACTTCACTGAGTACCTATTTAGTCAAAAGTTCAAATCCTTCGACATACATAACACGGAAGCTTGCTATTTTCTAAGCTGTATTTTCAATATTATTTGTTCTGCGAGCCCAAATGTTGTTATTGCCTTGCTTGAATTTGAATATACTATGACACGACTTACTCATAATTCTTGCTTTCTGTAATCTTTTTGGTTACAAACACATGAATATTTTTCACAAATACAGTTTGAAGATTTGTCATGCTCGTTAACGACTGTATAGTTACTCAAACTAAATATACTACATGCATATGGGTTCTATACATAATATGTCTAAAACGCTAACCAACAACTACTTTTTCTGAGCTGTTTTATGTTTAGTGCATCTTCACCACTAACACTTTCCAAATCTGGTAAATTTAGATAAGACTCAACAGAACGATCATCTTGTCTAGAATTTTGCTTCTCCTACATTCTACTGACGAAATCACTACTTCTTCGATAAGATATGGAAACCGAAGTGAACTTAACGTGACAATACGAGAATAGCATCATTTTTTTGCACCATGACTTCTTAAATAAAGTTACAATTTACGTGTAAAACATTTTGTAATACGCGATAAAGAATATAAATTTCAATAAAATTACATTCATATTAATTAGACAACAAAAAATATGCAGACGCCATTCTTGTATCAATAATGAGTAGTGCAGCATAACAGTTTCGATATTGCTCAATCTCACAATGAGTAATTAAGCCATAAATTTTGAGAGAGATAATGAAGTTAATCGTAGCAGATGTGCATCAAGCCGAACTAGTGAAAACAGGGCATAATAAAATTCTTACTGAAAGTTTTATACCATAAAATCAGATAGCTAAATTACATTGCATAATGAATGGGTAAAACTCGATGTAATTAATCGGAACTGTAAACTATCAATGGTTTGTTCTACTTTTCACCAAAAGATGCAAAATATTTTTTACGAACTGAACTGAACAAACTGTTCTCCGGAAAAATGAAACGATTCTGAACCTCATATAACCAGAAAACTTCAGATTTCTAACTCACCCAGAAGATGAACTATATCAGATAAATCCGTAGACTTTGCGAAACACGTTGAAAATGGATAAAAATAGAAGGAAAAACAACCTGTAATACAACATTATAAACTCTGACGCTTTATAAATTTTTTTGCAGGCATTCAGGCTGCTTGTCTGTTGCAGCTATCTTCCTCTATTACTCAAAAAAGCGGGTTACGTCGAAAAGTGCGTTTATTTTCTGCGGGAAAGCAGGAAATAAGGTAGTTGAGATATGGCATGCAATGAGCTTGTAATTATTAGAGAGCTTTGTTTCAATTCACAGCTACACAGGGATAGTTTAATAGTGTGAAAGTTTTAAGGAGGAAACATTTAACAGGCGAGACTTCTATTGTTTTCTCTTATTGTGCCAGTTTCTCCCAACTCTTCTGAGATTTTTCAAACCACTGGTTCTATCTTCTTGCTGTTATTCAAAGAGCCAGAGGTTGTATAGTTAGGTTTTGTCCTCATGTCATTAGTAGAATCCGGTTGGCGACAATTCACATTTTTTGAGAAGCACAATGTTTATGATCCAAGTAATCCGGAACACAAATTTAATGGATTAAAGGTGTTTCTTCAGTTTATTCATGCATTTTAGTTGAAAGCTGGTTATGTTATATTAAACAGGGAAAAATTTCTATAATCAAATTATTTGATGCTCTGTAATCCAGCACTGTTTTCAGAATTTGAGAGCGTGTTGTTCAGTATCGGGTGATGGATTTACTATATTTGGAGAACCATCTGGTGCAATATTAAAATTATCGCGGAATTTGGAAGAATACTATTGGATAGCCCATAAACACTCTTTGGCAAATATAGCACTTGCGGGACATATTCTCGCGACTGTTGGTGTAAGCTATGTACCAGCTATTATCGAAAAATATTTAAAATTTTATGCAGTTTTCTGAAACTTGAAAGGTAAATTTTCTTAATTTTTAAGAAAATTTGCCTTTCAAGTTGTGGCAGTTGGATCAGTGTCACTTTAATCGCGTTATTCAATTTGAATAAAATGATTCAAACTTGAGCATGCATTAAGATAATGAGTCAAACGTACAGTTAAAGTGATGGCTTACAGGAAGATGAAGAAGGGATTAATTCACTCATTAAGTTGTGGCAGTTGGATCGAATTGAAAAGGATTCCCCGTTTTGTGTCCGTGTTATACCTCTAGGCTCTTTGTTAGGCGTTGGACACAACACGCAGGCTTGTGCTATCGCTTTGCATTCTTCTTTGTCACATATTGCTGTGGGCTTCGTTGATTCTTCTGTTATCTATTGTACGGGTAATATTATCAAAGAAAAGTGAGCACTACGTGACTATCGGATCAATAAATAATTCTCTATTGTACAAAAATAGTTCAGTTATGTCAGAATCTGCCCTATTTTTCGTTGTATGGTATAGCTTTAAAATAAAAATGCTCATCAGATTACCGAAAGCAACGATCCATTTTTGATTGGTCATTGAAAAATCAGCAACCAGTTGCATATAAATCATGGGAATACAGTCAAATCTTTTAATTAAGAAACCCCTGCAATATTCGGTAGTGTCAGTTTTGCACTTCAGGAATTCCTTATTATAAAATTTTAGATCAGGAAAGTGGCTCTTAGTAGTGAATGGTTCAGGTACAAGTTCTAATGATAAAATCACTGGGCTCTGCTTAACCTGGATTAGTGGACAAGATCTTTGTATTCTCTACTGCTTAACGTCAACATCTGTTACGTCTTATTCAATTACCAAAAGATCTGTTGCAAACAAGGTGTAGTGTAGTTAAGCTTTTTTTGTTTTAATACTGGGAGATTACGCAAATATTTTTGTTTTAATCCAGTGTTGCTTGCTCTCTTTAAAATTGTCAATAGAATAAAAGTGTGAATGTTTGCAGGTTTTGCATGATGCAAAAGGATGTCTTTGTGACTGCTGGGATTTCAGTGAAACTCGTAATCAGTTAATTGTTGGCAGTAGTGAGGTTTGTGTCGATATGTATCTGCATCATACCGATCAATTTTTATTTGCGCATAATTTTCAAATTGATACCTGCATTACCTTGTTGATTTTTAGTACACTAATATTTTCGTGATTATATTTTGAAAGTAAGCTTGTAATATGCAGTCAGTGTCAGATGGTGCATTTCTACGATGTGGAGCGAAGTTTAGCTGCTGATTCAGATAGTGGCAGAGGTCGTTGTCATGCACTTGGACGAAACAACGAAAAAATTCAGTTGATTGCATTTGGCAATCATATTGCACTGCTTACTCGACAGCCAGCTGTTATACCGTTTGTTAATACAGTTTGAACAATGAAGATTATGAAAGTCATGAGGGGAAATATTTTACTCTTCCTTAGTTCATGAGTCTACAGTTTTTCAGTTCATCAACTGAATTGTGGACTTACGTTGTTTCCATATATGATACTGAAGGACAGTGTGTTGCATTTTCTTGCGCCCTTCCATCTGTTTCTCGGATATTTCTGTTGGACTTTGTATTAATGGTTCTCAGTCAAGATGGAACAATTTCTGCGTTCATGGAAAAGAGCATTAGCTCAAAACTTGATATTTTGCTAAAAAAAAATTTATATGATCTTGCTGTTGGGTAAATTTTATCATTCATCAAGTAGTCCGCATAATTTTCAAAATTTTTCGCTATATTTTCCCTATTCCTTTTTTATTCTATAGGGTTGCCAAAAGAAGTTCAGTTGCTATGGAACATCTCCCTGAAATTTATAAGAAGTATGGGGATTATTTGTACAGGTATCCAAATTATTTCATTATACATTTCTGTTGTAAAGAGTTCTAATTCTTTAGTAGTTATAGAAAAGATTTATTTTAGAAGCGGAGATTTTGAAAATGCAGTACAGCAGTACGCGGAAACTGTCGGTTGCTTAGAACCGTCCTATGTTATCAAAAAGGTCTATTGATATGTTTCTGAATTTTGAAAAAAATTAAGAATTCGTTTATTTTCCTGAAGAAAAATTTCAGTTTCTGGATGGATCTCGCATAAAAGAGTTGTGCATCTATCTTGAAGTATTGCATTCTAAAGGTAATGCAAACAGTCACCACACAACTATATTGCTGAATTGTTACACTCGCTTAGCAGATCGAAAAAAAATTAGTGATTTTATTGACCGTGATTTCGATTGCAATATGGAAACTGCAGTCCAGGTATCATAAAATCTTTCTTGTTCTTTGCTCTATTACTTTTTATTTTAGGACTTTTCGTAGCATAAAAATGCCATATTTCATGTTTCATGTTTTAGGTACTTCGGGCTGCAAACTTTACAGCAGAAGCATGTCGTCTATGTGCAAAACAGAAATGGCACATCGTATTGTTAAGCATATTAATTGAGGATCGAGCCGACTATCAATCTGCACTCAAATATATATCAAAATTAGACATTTCTGAGGTTATCTATTTTTCTACGAATTGTTTACTTGTAGTCAAAAGTAATGTTTTTATTTAAAGATTTGAGCTAAAATTTAGGTCGAACAATGCTTGGACAAGTTTGGAAAATATCTTTTGATGAACAATCCTGAGGAAACCATGGAGTTAATTTTGGATAAAGCATGTTTTGGTTCGACATTTAATCCTAGTAAAAAATATGCTGATTCCATGTTTCTCATTTCTTTTGCTTTCAAATGACTGATTTTATTTTCACTGAAATATATTTGCATCAATTTTTTCGGAAATTAAAAATTGCGAAGTTATGGCTACAATAATCTAAAATTTTCTTTTAATATTTAATATGGGCAACAGTTGATTTGAGCGATAAAAATTTTTGAGGCCATATTAATGCTTTCGCTCTGATGAAAGTATTTGTTGGTTTGCCTTCACAGTGTCGAAAATTTATGGAGAATGCGGTAAAGGTGATCTTTATAGATCAAAATCTATTAGAATTTTATTTTTTCATATATGTTGCTTTTTTGCTTGATTACCTATTTGGACTTATTTGCGTTTTCAGCACTTAGCAGATAACGTGGACTTGCGTAATTTGCTTTTAGAATTTTGTCTTCGTCAATGGGCACTGCGTGATGAGGTTCTTCAGTTTTGTTTCTTAATTTTCAGAGTGCTTTTTAATTGCTTTAATCATTATATTTGCTGATGGCTTTTTTGATTTTACGGTGTTGCCGATACTTTTTCTGGTATATAGTGATATTAAATTTCTATATTTTATGATGTTCCGATTCACGATGGAGATGTTCTGAAATTAATTGGAGATGAAAATCTAGAAGAGTCATTGAGGCTTTGTCAATTGTTTAATTATGTTCCAGGAATCACTGAAATATATAAGAAAATGAAAAGGTGATACTTTGAGTTAAAATTTTATTTAACTCAAAGTAGATTAAAGTCGTTTAAATAATGTTCTAGGTATGACAAACTTATTGAATACTACATGCGACAAAACAAGCTGAAAGAAATTATCGAATTATGCGAAAAAGAGAAGTTTGTTTTAGTTTTTTTCTGAAAGTATAATGGTTTAATTTTCAATAATTCATCTGTTGGTTAATTTTTTTTTATTGTTCGTTAAAATTTCATTAAATAATTTTCATTTATAGCAGTCGTGATCTGTGGATGAATGTGATACTGTTTGTTTCTCGTGAAAAAAATTTGGATGCGGATATGATACATTTATTACTCGAACGGTTTGATCTATCGATATAATGTATCTAAAATTTTATATCTTTACATTTATAAGGGTTTTTTTTTACAGAATCGAGGCGTTCAGTAATATCCATCCACTTGTTGTTTTGGAAATTTTTTCTAAAAGTGATAAATTTTGCGTTTCTCATGTGAGAAATTATATTATCAACTGGATGAAGCAAAGAAATACTCAGGTTGATTTTGTTCTCAGTGTAATGAATTTATATTTAAAAAAATTATTCTGTATAAAAATTTTTAATAATATAAATTAAAGCAAATTTTCAGTTATATAGTCCAATTCTGTATTTTTATTTTGTTTTGCAGTAGTTTATAAGCGAGTCCTCTAAATATGAAACTGCACAAACATGAGTTTTTTTCAAAAATGTTGTTTCTTATTAAAATCTGTAAAATAATTTGGTATTGAAAACATTGGTTTTCGTGATCGCAAGCTGAGTTTCAGCTTATTTTTTCCTTGAATTCGCTAAGTTGTCTATGGAAAAAAAAGTTGCAATCCTTCATTACTGATAAATGAATGTTTGAGGTTGAAACAGATGAAAAATCAATTGCTGAAAACGAGGCAAAAATGGCTAATATTGAAGAACAGATTGATAACATTAATTACAAGTTGGTATTGTAATAAATGCAATAAAAGTTTATATTTTCGAAAAGCTATATTTTCTGATAAGTAAGCGACTTCAGAAGTTTTTGGCATAAAGATGAGCTAGTTTATTTTTGCAGGGTTCAAATTTTTCAAATGAATAAATGTTCTGCCTGCGATACATCTCTCCAGCTTCCAGCTATTCATTTTCTCTGCAAACATTCCTACCATGCTCACTGTCTTGAGTCTTACAGTGAGAAAGCTGATCGTTGTCCAGCTTGTACTCAAGATACTTTTATTGAAAGGTTTGTCCTTGATAAATTTTTTAAAAGAATTGCTTGAATATTTTGTACCTTGTGGTTTTTTTTTTTCATTTTTTCATTCTTAAAATGAGCTTCTTAATAGTTATTCAAGAACATTACGCTTTTGTCTTTTTGTACCCATAAGGTAATAGTCGATTTTGTAAGATTTCAGATTTGAAAACGATAGTGAAAAGGACTTTTCTTCATTCAGTGCGTATGCTCAATTTCGAAATGAAGTACATTTTGAAGATTTAGTTTGAATTACTGAATAATTAAGAGGGACAGGAAATGATCAGTTTATATGTAAAGTTGCTGGAAAGTTCTAGGTTTTTACAGGACTTTTAGGACACATGTTTGCAGATAAATGAATCAGTGGACTGCATGGCTCTTATCTCTTCATATATTGGGAATGGTATTTTTGACGTTTGGTGTAAAGAAAAAACGCTGAAGACTGAAAATGAGTCAAACATTTCTGATCCAAATATCATTAACAAGAAATCAAATTTGAAGCAGTTTGTCGACTGGTCAGCGTCTGATAAAGATTCAATGTCGGTTCTTCCGCATCAATCATTTTCTGCTTCAAAACCTGTAACTTCATTAACAAAATCTGCGGAATCTACGAATCCTTTTGATAATGATGTCGATGCCAGTAATCCTTTCGAAGAGGACATGTAAGTTGTAGTATTTACCACCTTTGGCCAAATGTAAGTAACTCAGCTTCCCTTTATTGTTTTTTGAAAAAGTTGAAGAAGAGGTGGAATAAGTTTGAAACATGGAGACAGTTGCATAAGTCATACTTTCGTGTCAGCAGTCGCACTTTTTTACTCTCGTGGCTTGTAAATTTTACTACATAAATGAAAGAAAGCTTGTTTATTTATTTTGCATTTATTTACATCAGTGAATCACTTTCTGTTTGTTCTTCTGTTTGATGAAATCGTCAGTTTTGTATGATATTTAAAAAAATTATCATAGTATAGTCGTTGAAATTTTATAACTAAAAAGTGAATTCCGTGAAAAATTGTATTATTGGTATGCAAGTAAGTCATTTATCACTTAATATAGTTAAACGCAGTGTAGTAATTAATGATAAATTGATAGGTTAATGATAAGTCGGGAAAAGATAATTGGTTCTGCTTTTCAAATCGACATCGGAAAAATATTTGGAAATAGCTTTTTTATGTTATGCTGATTTGTAAAGTATATGGAAAAAAACCATGATGAAATTTCGGGATTCCATTAGATTACACGCTGATTCTTCAACTAATGTTATCTTTCATGTGGCGTATTCTGAACGACATGTAACAATGAAAAATGTGTTTTAGAAAGCATTTTTTCTTAATACTTATTAAAAGACTGAAGGTATTCACTAGTACAATATATGTTTATGTTTTTGAAATCAGTGGTTGCAGATGTACTTGGTGTGATATAGGTTACGAAAATAGATGTGTTTTGTGCATAATCTGTCGAAAGATGAATAATGAATGTAATTATGACTGTGTTCATTGAAATTGAGGTGATCCTTCCAGGCACGAGTTGGCGACTGAATACGATCAGTAGGAAAAATTTATTGAGAACTGTGAATCAGATTTCAAATACTTTTGTTGAACTTATCCATTAAGTAGTCATGGAGCTACAGATAAGTAGTGGACAAAATTATAGTCGATTCTACCAAAACTCTGACGCATGCTGAAAATAGTGTGTATATTAAAGTACGAAAATAATTTAAACTGTATGTGGTGGGAACAATGGATAAGCATTAAATAGGATATTATTCAAAAGTAATGCATTTACAAAACTACTAGTTAATGGAAAATTACGTGTAAGTACAAAAGTAAGGTATTCGTTAAGGGGAATAGCGAACTTAAGTCACCATCCTCAATCTAGTCGATACTATAGATGGATTTCAAGATGGCTTGCTAATCTTATTAAGTACTTTAGTCAGTATCGTTGGATAACCAGTAAAAAAGGGGGGAGTTATAGTGGTCATACTTTGAAAAATTTTTGCACCAAAAATCGGTTTCAACGCATTTTTCCTGTTTGTACTAATGAGTGTTCCGTTTCACCTCATCAGTTTAGCAGTTGTTCAGTTTATTTTTCTTATTTCCGTTGATATACTATTAAATCACAGAATAATGGAAATGAAGTGAAACGGATCATTCATGAATTACGTATTTTGTTTGCAAACTGGTGTCATGAAGGAATTAAGTGGTATAGTATGATGACAAAAAAATTCATCTGTAATGTTTTTCACTGATATTAGACGGAATGAAGATTTGACGGACTTTAAGTTCCACAACTGCTATGAAATACTGAACTACATCTTCATGGTTCCTTTTTCCTTTTACATTCCTGCCATGAGATAGAATTTTTCTGGAAAATGAATGATACCCAGGAAATAAGGTAGTATTTAGCCACAGCACAATACCATCACTGATTTTAAGTTAGTGTATGAATAGTATTTAGAACAAATGATGGTAAAGCCTGTGCGTGAAATGCCTAGATAGTTAAACTGTCTTCAAAATCAAATCATCTTATCGAAATACAAATTACTTCTAGAATATAAAGAAATATAGGGTTTGTTTGGGGTCATTCTATAAATTTTTATTTTTTAAACTGTCTGCAGAACACTGCAACTTCATGTCGCAGAGAAAAAATTGGATACAGGAACACAATTTTAATTTTTAAACACGGAAGATATCATAAAAATTACTATTAAGAATCCGAGAACGGCAAAAAACTTAAAATAACTACTACAAATCTCTACAAACACATTTTTGTTCTTTGTTGTTGTATTCTTTAAAGAGTGATTTTCACAAAAATTCATAGTTGACGTCTCATTAGGGTTAAGTATTTATGTAAATTACGACTGTGAAGATTCGTTGGACAACAGTTGTATATGATAATGAATATTGTAAACGTCTTATTCATTCACGTGACAAAATACTCGATGGATCAACAGGATGATCAGTTACTCACTTATTGTGCTACCCGTTTTATTTGTTATATTGTGATTTGGACGACAATTCATTATCCACTATAATGTAGTAAATGTTGAAGTGCCATTTAATCGTTCCTGAAACATATGAAATGTGATAGAAATTGAAATAAAGTTACCTGTTTGTCATTATTTAATCTTAGTCATAGTAAGCTTCTAAATAAAAATATATTTCACCGAAATCATAAAATTGAAAGTTGACAAGAAGTGAAGCTTAAGCGGTAAATTTGCAATATTTTTCATCACCTTATACAGGCAAGATAAAGCAATGATAACATAATTTAGTCTTTTTTTATTTCTAAATTAATGGAAAAGAATCTAAAGTGTTGTGTTCGTTAAATTCGTTATCTCATAATAGTACACAGTACAGGATCATCATTAAACTTACTCTAAAACCTGAGAGTCCGCAGTAAGAACTGGATGACTTTTCCGCTGACTGATGTGAATTTTTACCGTTCTGAGCTGAAGGAACATCGAGGTTTTCAAAGTCTTCAAGTTCGTCTAAAATATGCTATTATTCTACTATATTGTTCTTATTCAGTTCTAAGCAAGAATAATTAATCAGGAGAACAATGAAGTTGACATTAACCAGTTGATTCACATATAAGTTTGAAATTATCAGTTTTTGAGTGCGGCTGAACGTTGATTGTAGTAGAACTCATGTCTACCTGTAAATTAATACGTATTACATTTATGTTCAAGTTCAATTTGCTGGTACCTGAAAATGCATGGAAGGAATGAAAAGCTTTTACATTTTTTTGAAATTACTTATCATAAAGTAATATGACGTAAAGTGCTTCAAACCTTCAGTTCCTTTTCTAAATAATTTAATTGGATGAAAGTCCAAATGAAAAATCAAGGCAAATTATTGCCTACATTTTTTATTAATTAGACTAAATAGAATAATATTACTAATTCATAATCAAACATTTCAGAATTTAAACTAAGAAAAAGAGGTAGGAAACTTGCCGTAATTTCGCTTTGTTTAGCTCCACTATTCTTAAAATCTGGTAATTTCCCATACTGATTTTGATACATTTTACGCTTACTTCTGCAATTTTTAATGCTCACACTTTTCAGTGAAAGCTATATAGACCTGTTCATCGTTTAATTACAGCTAACAATATATGAGCTAATTGCATTTGTGCTGTGCAAAGAAAAAAAATTGAAATTATGTTTATAATTTACTTAAACAAAATTTGTCATTAAGTGGTTTAATAAATAAAAAAAATTTATGTGATATAAATGACGTAGAAATGATTACCGTTCATTGCTATAGCGATGAATGAAAAACAATAACAGGAAAATAAGTAAAAGCATTGATAAAACAGTCAAAGCGAGAGACCAAATAAGTATTCCAGCTTGTGGACTTTGCACTACAACGAAGAATAAGTTCAGAAAATCAGAAATATTTTAGCTATAGTTTGTATCAAAAGGAAGTATTTAAGAAAGCAGCAACAAGAAGTGACCTTCTAATTTCATTGTTCAAAACATGAAGGAGGTCACGAGCATATTTGAAGGGTGAAGAATCTCTAATAATGTTAGAAGATGCAATGCTTTGTAGGTAATACGAAACTGATTAATTTTGAAAATTACATCTCAATAGCAGTCATTAGCACTCTCCAAAAAATAGAAATTTCCATTATTCAAACCATTCGATTTCTTTAAATAATGAGGATTTCCAATAAGCAAGAAATTTGCAGTCGATTTGCTAAGATTAAAAAAACCCAGCGTAAATGTTAGATACTAACACCAAATGTTATGATTTATATGAAAACTTGACCTGTGTAGGATGAGATTGCATGACTTTCACAGTATTGACCAGCATATTCAGGTGGACATCTATAAAGACAAGGTTTTAATGTATCTTGTAGATTAAATTTTCAATAAGTATTAAATGAAAGCAATTAAAGGTCGACATTTGAGCTTAAATCACTTTTCAATTAATACTTATTACAAACAGCTTTTCAATAATTATCTGTCAAACCAGTGGCGAAGATTTTATGAGCAATGACACACTGGATGGAAATTTCAAAAATAAATTGAATTAAAGGATAAATACTCAGAAGTTAAAAAGCCATGCATATGACTTTCAATTCTCAGTTATCGTTAATTTTCTAAAGATCCCTCAAATTTGTAATTAAAAAGAGGAAGTTTTTCTTTGGAATTTTGAAAGGAAGTGTTAAACTTACAGACAAAAGGGTGCCTTGTCACCTGTAAAAGGAACAAAGCATTTACCACCATTGCGACACATATTCTCTTCACATTCTTTTACGTGAGGCGAGCTAACAAGCGGATTATAGCGCTTAAGCATTAAAGTTGATTCAAGAGCTTCATTAGATGCCGGCATTACGCACTGATATATCCCAGCGTGCTTGCCCCCATCAAACTGATTGATTTTTAGGATTCTAAATTTTTTGATAAATATATTTCTAGAAATAAAACAGCAGTTTAATTCGATTTTTCTTCTTCTTTACCCCTCGAAATTTGAAGACAAGAAGTTCAGGCAGTACAACAAAATAATTATTCTTTGACTGAAGTCAAACTCTTGACTTTCTTTCATCATCAATATATATCATTATTATGTGAAATGAAGACCTGTTTTAAAAATTATCGCAGTATAATATTTTCATAAACAAAAAATGTAGTCTTTAGCTATGGTTATTAAAGAATACAGTTGTTTACTGCATCTGATCATTAAATTAGATGTTTCATTGAGCAAGTGAGGTCAAAATTAAGAAGAAAGTGAAAATGTTGTAGAAAATAATTGTTACTTTGTTTTTCCTCTAATTAGTGCAGCTGTGGTGATTTCCACTTGATCCTTAAAAAACATCAAATTTTTGGCATCATATTCAGCAGCTGAGCATTCAATTTCAATCCTTTCACCATCAGTAATATATTCTAATGTAACATGACTTTCGTTTGCACCATCTAAAATAATTATAAAACTGTCACTAGTAATCTCCAGAGTACAGAAAATAGTAGAAAATTATAGCCATGTTTCCAGTTTAAAAATGACAATTTTTTGTATAAAATCCCAGAACTGTTAGCCTATGGCCCAATGCCATAAATTTATTTCTTTTAAAACGGAGAAAATAAATCATATCTTTAGTTAGTTGAATTGAGAATTTCCTTGCAATCATAATTAATTCGCTTAATCGAAGTCGATTTCCAGATATTCTAAAAATTCAAGGTATATAAAATTACTCGTATATGGCCATAGAAATTGACAACGAGGAGAAGACACTCGTGAATTTGTGGAATGTAACTAAATAAAAGATAGTGAGCAGCAGTCACCATCACTTAAAGTTTATTTTGGATGACTCACTAAATATGATGATGACTTCATTGTAAACATTCTAAAAGTAAACATCTTGCTAATTCGAGTACTGTTACCAAAATTCGGAAAAGTGGGACCTTTTGTGGATAAAGTAAGCAGAAAATATCATATTTGTCTATCATCCAATAAATGAGGAATTTCATGGAAGAGAGAAAATATTCTTGCTACACTGCCCAACCTTTCTAACTATCGTAAGAAAGGGAATCATGAAGGACGAATGCAGTAATACGTACAAGTAAGGGCAATATCTACAATGTACAATAAAGAAAAGAACTACAAGCAGATATTATCATACAGTTTGCTAATTTTAGCGTTATTTTTTATCCAGAAAAAATGATTCCCTAATTTTGAGTTAATGAGAAACTGAGTTAATTGTTATTCTTGAATGAGTTTCTTTTACGGTTTAATAAGAAGCACTATTTACAGTATATAGAAGTTCTTTATGTCAAAGGTTAGCCAGTTGCAAACTTACGAGAAATGATTGATGCTTCTTAAAAAGTTAACGTAGTTTGGATATTATAAACTTATAGCATGTTACTGATGAAAAATTTTTGAAAAACATGAGGTTTGAGTTTTTGTTTAAAAGAAAGAAAAAAACAATAATTATAAAAACTTAACTGATTATTTACAAATAGTTTCTAGATGAATTTCTAATTTGCAAAGATGATCAGAAGTTTTGCAATGTCAGAAAAAGTACAAAAGTTACTAGCAGAGTAATATAATGAATGCTTTTTCCATTTTTAACTTTAACTGAAGAAGAAGAAATTATAGACAATAAGATCAGTAATGAATCAATCTAGTAAGTGCTTGATGATGACTTTAGCTCTGACACTCAACATCCATTATCCACTTCATATTTTATTAATAATGCCTCCTGCATATATTACATATGTCGAGAACTTTTATACCATTAGCATTTATTCCACTCAGAGTTTTTTATTGTTTAATTTTGACCCTCAATACAAAAATTATAAACTTAAAATTTTATTTAAAAACGTTCAACGTCAAGGTCGAATTCCAAATGAAAAAGTAAGAGCAATCATTACTAATCGTCTAAAACTTCACTTTCATTACTATTTCTTCCTTTTTCGACTCTGCGGAAATTTCAATTCTAGAACAGTGTAGATCATTTTTACTCATGCACACATAATACATTCTATATATGAAAAGATTTACTCATTTTCAGTATATGAGCAATTGAAGTAAAATGGCTTTCAACTGCATATGGGTAGTGAGCTTTTCATTATATACTGCCATGAGAAATATTTGCCTTTGCAACTGTTCTGCGAGAATTAGCATTTAATGATAAATTCAGAAAAAAAATCATGTTTAATCTTCTTGCTGGTTGATCTGAATTTGGTACTGTTCTTTGCATATTTATTCCATACTTTGGAATGAATAATTGCATTCTAATACTAACAGTAAAACACAAACAATACACAAAATTAGGGCGAGCATTCTATCGTTTTATAACATTAAGCCAGCAGAAAACTTAATTGAACTTTGATTTTATTATCGTAACACAACAGCTTTCATTTAGTTAGTAACAAATATCATCTTACCTCGTTGCTTATCACCATTTTCTAATTAACTGCAAATTTCATGGTTCTGTGATATTAGAGACCTTGACCAGGAATTAAAAGCCATTTTTTTAAATAATAATTTTAAAATGATCTTAGGATTTTATTTAATTAAATAAATGATAAACGTTCATTATTAAAACAGTATGTGTGATAGCATTAAAGAACGGAATAATTAAGCCTTATTATTATATACTGGGCTTAGCTCAAACAAGTTAAGACAAGCGTATTTGAAGTGGATTAAAAAAAAGGGAATATAAAAAAGTTATAAATGAATGTAAGTTTAATCATCAGAAACATTCATATTAAACAATTTCAACGCTTTACTAGCAAATGAATTCTACAACATATAGTCATTTACTGTATGTGCATCGTTACTGCTTCTGTTTTTCACGAAAATGTTCTAGTAGCATAATTTGAATAATCATGAAGGAAATAAATTGAAATCCAACTTTAAAATTTTTTTCAGAATCTGTTAAACCAAATTCTTGCTTATTTTCTATGGAATTAAACATGTACATCTTTCAGTTTTTTGAAAGTTAAAGAACAAACAGTACCGTATTAAATGCATAACTCTTGTATTAGTCTCAATAACAATGATTCTGTTTAATGACCGATAACTTATGCTGAATGCCTTGGACATGATTTTTTTAATAATTTTTGTTACGATTAATTCTTCCACTACTAATTCAACAAGAAAGCAAAAGATTTAATGATGTAAACTAAAAACAAAGATGAAAGAAATAATTGTTTTCTTCTCAAATTAAATTGTGAGAAAATAATGGTGTGAAAAGTTAATTTATTGGAACATAAAATGTATTAGAATGCAGAATCTCATGCTACGGCTTATTTTAAGTAATCATCATGCAACTGCATTTTTTCGTACTTGAGTAACGTGCAGACTTTTTACTAATGTCAGTGGTAAACTTACAAAAATTATGAATCTCACTTCCAAAATAGCAGTCATTAAAACTGCTAAAAGTTAGCATAAATCTTGCATTGCAGTTGAAGTGTTTTTGAATCATTTTTAAAATAACAATAGGAAGTCATCGCGATAGTAATTATGATCAAATTTATGATTGAAATCTTTCATTTGCTTTGTAATAATAAATTAACAGCGTTTGAACTTTTTTGTATTAACTATTGGCTGTAAAAAATGATATTTTGCCAAGTTTTACTACTCTTAATGCCTCAGTACAGAAAGTTTAGAGGTATTTAAAGTTTATATCTGAATTTATTTCTCACTATTAATGTCAACTCTAAAAAGTAATTAAGAAATCATTCAATAGTATTAAAATGAAATTAAAGGAAGGATCCAACAGCAAAAATTTGTCAAGAATCGAAAAATTATCAGTCAGTGAATAATTAAAACTTTAATGGTACCAAAAATTGTGTATAGTTTGATTGACAAAAACATAAATCATGGAAATTTTTTTAAAGTGTCACTCAATTTCGTAAAAGTTTGTCATGAAGAAATCATATTAAATCTTATTAGAATAGCATTAAAAAATTTAACAATTCAAAACTATCTTTGATATTGTTTTTTTCCTATATTTCAAAAAAATTTCTCTGGAAAATCGTTAAAAGAGAAATATTTACTTAAGCCAGACTAAATAATTATTCTTTTCTAAATTACGTAAGTTGGAGCCCAGAGTTTTGATGACGAGGTAAAAAATTGGTAAAAATTTAATTATTTAACTTGGACTAACTGTGCATTTCCGAAACAAAAAAGCCATCGATGATGGCAAAAGAAAGTGAGAAGAGAAGCGAAAAAAGAGGCTAAACCAAGTGCATCCAAAGCTTATCATTACTTATTCATTATTTACACTTCATAATCATCACTTATGTTTGTTTTGAGCACGTCGTTTAGGGTGGGGAGAACTGATCAGACCGCTCTGATTAATTTTAAGTCAGCGAGGCAATATAATTTTCTTTTCTATTTGTATTTCGCAAGTTTTTTTTTTTTGTCATTTGCGTGCACTTGAAATTTTTTATTCTTGTGATTTTCAATTTAGAATTAAGAATAAATTTTTGCGATAAGCTTCTAGCAATATAGCAAACTGAAGTTGGTGAGATCCTTGGAATAATATTATAATGTGAATACAAAACTTTTTTTCGCATCAAATCACTTTTATAAAATCAACGATTTAAGACAATATACTGGGAGTTTTAGTTTCACGTTGGTTTTACGTGAAGTTTGTTCAGTAAGAACTACTTTCAAGAAAACAGCTAACTCAACATTATCTGATTTTAGGAGTTCTCTCATAGAAATGTATAATAAATGCTGTGAAATAGATAAGACAATTTTTTGTGAACTGTAAAATGTGAAATGTGTCTTTGGCATGGTAAATCTGAAAATTTAATCCACTGTTTTGCAGGACTGAATGCTTTTCCATTTTTGATCGCAATATTCAAGCAGTAATAAAAGTGACAAATGCAGAATAAAGAAGCTGCGCAGGTTTGTTGTTTTCGTGTGATTGCAAGTGACGATTGGAAAGTCAGCGATTATTAATAATACTGCCATCATTATATACGAGAAAACATCTCTCAATTTTCAATTAGTTGCATATAATAAATGAATTAAATATTTATCGGTCAAGAGCAGTACTTTTTGTTCATTTTCACAGTAACTAAGTCAGAACACTGCAGGTATTATTTTTACTTGCTTTCATTAGCTTATATTTTCTTTGTACTCATTTTATTGGTCAGCACAATTATAAGCTGAAATCATCCCTTTGAATAATTGCGAAAAAAATCATGTTCGTTTACATTCTCCACCAAATTATCATTTGGAAACTCAATAAAAGCAAGTTTTCATATTTATTTTTACAGAAAATATTGATTTATTGAAGATTATGACATCACTGAAAGCAGTTATTTGAGTGATAATACATAGACGTATTACTTAAAAGCAAGAAGAGGAGTATGAATACTTAGGAATTGGTTTTTGCTTATTTACGACCAATTTTAAACACAATGTAATTGATTCCTGTATAACAAAGTTGAGCTTACTTATGCAGGATTGCTATACAGAAATACGTACCAAGACAGAACAGAGCATGCATGGCCTGGGGATGCGAACTATCTGACATTAAGAGAGTTTCTTGCATATAATTCCTACACAAACTTGTTTTCTCGACTCCAACGCCTCAGACTACTTCAGTCATGAGAACAAATAAAACTGAGTTCCATTTCTGATAGTCATAGTCATATTTTTGTTTCCTTCCAGAAATTTTACAAAATTTCAGATATTTGATGCATGACATTCGATGCTGAAATTGAATTCTTTATATGTTCAGAAACTTTTAGCAATATTGAAGACCAAAAACATTAATTGATCAAATTAGATTAGTAAAGAAAAAACTTTTTTACGCTATTAAACCATCTTTGAGTAATATCAGTAATTTCCAAAATTACAAATTGGTGATGCTCTGCTGAAAAGCATGCTTTCACCACTTTAAGTGAAGAACAATGTTGTTTATATCTGGCATACTAAAGTCCTTTTTCATCTGTGTGTGTTTACATTCACTCAATTGTTTACATTTACTCAATTTTAGTACTTGATGTATTCTTCATCGCACCATTTGAAAAATTTTTTATACATAAAATTTGTTACGAACATTATTACTGATGAAGAACGCTTTGTTAAATTCCTTTAAATTGAATAATGTGCTGGGAAAGCAAAGTTTTCTGACTCTCGAAAAAATCGTCCGTGGAAGTAGAGAATAATCGAGTAAGCATTAAGAAGAAAACTGCAAATGTGATTTTCCTCATAAATGATCAGCAAAGTCACTTTTGCATGGCAGTATAGAAGAGGAATGAATGAATAACTGATCGCCACAAGCAGTTAACAGACAAAACAGAACAAAGAAATAAGGAGGCGTTGTTGTGAATGTTGCGGAAGAAAAGTAACTTGCATCATACTGCTTACTATATTCAAATTTGGATTTGCATATGCAGTAAATTAAGGGGATTGACAGATTCATGGAAGTGAATAGAAGAATTGACAAAAAGGAAGATAATCAACTTAAACATACGAGTAACGGAAATGGACAATTCACAAAGTAATACAGCAGACAAGCTTGAGAGAACGGAAGAGCAATCATTGAAAAACTAAATAGAAATGGCTGAGCAAGCTATGTTAGACCAAGTCCAACGTAGTCCAGCTCAGCTCAGTCAACTCTTGCCCAGCCTAGCACAGCGCACCCCACCTCTTCTTGTCTAAGCTTACTCGAGCTATGAAGAGGGAGTCTTCACACTTACCACACTTGAAAACGAAAGTCACTCGTTAGAAGGTTCTTCCTTGCATGCATGTAGCAAACACTGATTCTTACCCTCACATACCAAACAAGTGATTGCGGACTAAAACTTCTCTATGGGTGCACAGCAATCGCACCATCGCTTATACAGCTACCACAGCCAGCAACAGCAACGGCATACAATCAATCAAGCGCAACAAAGTCTCAACCAACCACATCATCACATCATCAGCAACGAACTGAACCGGTCCCCTACTCTATTTTCCATGACTAAGTAAGGTATTTTTCCTCGCATTCTTTTGCTTTTACTCTTTTTTCAGTTTGTTCGTGAATGGTATGTGTAGTTATGAGCTACTGTTAGTCTATACAATTCGTATTATTTTCAATACCAAGGTTCTGTAAAAAATAAACCACGCTTACCTGCATTTAAACTTGCTGTTCTTCGTAAAGTGCTTATCTATTTATCATTTTCAGCCTGTGCTAAGAATGAAGTTGATTACTCAGTTATGCAAACTGCTTTCGCTTCTAATTTGAAAAAGTCGATAATAGTTTTTAAAATTATAAAGTTGATGATAGTCCACAAATTTATCCTTAATTAGCTTAACTATTCGATGCTTCTTTGCAGTCAGTACTTTAATTTAAATTTCACTAAAATTTTCTTGCTCGTAATGCACCCAGTTTTCAGTCTTGTTTCTTTACCTGTTTCTAATATCTCGTTTTTCGCTACGTGTATAATACAAAATCTTCACACGAGTTGATACAATTTAACTTGTTCATTAATTCAACTTGAACTGCATGAGAATGATTTTGGCATAAGGTTTAATTTTTGTAAGCAGGATTCCTATTTGCTTGCAGAAAGTCTTATAGAAGTTTGATTTGAAAATTATTCACACTAGGAACACGCAGTCTTTAGTGGTACGGTTAGATGATGTGTCAAAAAAAGTCAAAATAAAACTCAATTAAGATAAGCGAATAATTCTGCCCTTTACAGCACAATAAGCTAATGAACGTTTATAATAGTTATATATATATATATATATATATATCTTGTCTGTTATTTCCCCCAAACATATTCCTGTTAATCTAGAAATGGAAATGCCTTTATTACAATTTGTGATCGTCTTTGAATGAGGGCAAGAAGTTTGTTGCGTTTGGAAACGAAAACATTTTTAAATCAAGATATGTAGAGCCGAACTTTTTGCCTGACTTTTCAATCACTGAAAACTCGGTGTTAAGTTTCGATAATAATTTCATAAAATGATAACTTTATAAATGACCTTTGCATTACTTATCTTTTTTCTTGTACTACTCGTGTAGAATAATAGAAATTTGTTTAACAAAAAATTTTTGAAGATCACGCATATACAAGTTTTGATTAAATTAGTTTTCAAAAATGAATTAAAATGCAATAAGTCAGTTGTGTTCTTGTTTCTTAGAAACCAACTTAAGATATTTCATTACACTGGTTGTATAAAGAAGCACTAGAAATGCCGATGTTAGATTTAGTGTAAGAGTAAGTAATTCGGAAAATTCCCCCTAAAAAATTTCAAGATGAGATTTGAAGAGTTTGTAAGAATCCAATGTATATTAAAAAAATTAGCTAGTGAAAACAATTTTATATTCTCGAAAAGCAGTTGATAAGAGCATTTTATGTGCTCCAAAATTTATAATATTAAGACGAGGCAAGTCAAAAGGATCTAATATCCAACTAAAGATAATCTTTTAAGCTTTCGGCTCTGAAAGAATAGCTACTTTGAGTGTACTTTACAAAAATGGCATCATTTGAATCACTTTTTGTCTCTTTCATGCGGTCTATTATTTTGAAAATTCAATTCTCATATTTACTCTGAACTAAGCTTGATGGAGCATAAAGTCGGATACTGCTATATAAAAAAATTGGAAGAGTACTTTTCAACTGAAATTGCTGATCAAATTTAGTATTAGTAAATTGAATGGACTTAAAGCGAGTTCGTTATGATGCATTATTTGATGACAAATAACAAGAATTGTCGCATGAAGTGTGATACGAATTTGCATTTTAAATCATAATTTGCTATCAATCATTATCGTTACTGGGTGCAAAAGAGGAGGAAAGAAATAAATTTTACCCCTCTTGCACACAATCTTCAGTTTGCATTCCTCGCTTTTGACTTTTTGCATCCCCTACAAAAAGCAAAGTTTTATTTGAACTAAATGTAGGATTATTTGTGTTTGCTAAACTTGTTTTTATTACTGCAAAGTACTCAGCATGATATAAGTGACCAAAAAGTGGTCTCGTCGAGATGCGCTCTGGTATGTAAATAAGTACGATGTAGTGGGATTTGAATTTGAACAGTCTGAGGTCTGCTTATTTATTCGCTGTCTTTATCCGAAAAGCATATTTTTCTTTTTGCTTCAGTTTAAAAATTTCTGAATGATTATATGCCGCATTTTCATACTTCAGTCTCACTCATAATGAAGTAGCTGTATAGATATTAAGCAATAAAAATTGCAAAAACATTAAAATAAACTTGAAAAACGTAGTAACGCAGTGACGCTTTGAAGTCTAACGACTATTTCACGAAGTTATATAATAATAAAAGTGTTTTCAAGGTGCAGTCAAATATTATTTGGTTCGATTGTTTTAATGAAATGAGCATGCATATCATTCCAACAATTTCGGGCAATTTTGTAAACAATTGTAAAATTATGTTCTTGTTTGTTAACACGCTCAAATCATTTTATTACTGAATCCACAATAGATTTTAACATTGATCTAGCAATTATCTAATTTTATATCAGCAATGATAAATCTCAAAACATCAAAAAAATTTAGCATGCAAGCAAATTTTGCTTTAGTGCGAGCGAGCGAGATAAGTAAGTGATAGCAAATAAGTTAATGTAATCAATGAGGCTGACGTTTATTCCTCTCCAGTTTTTATCTCTTCTTATATAAGCAGAAGTGAAGTTTTTGTAATTAATCGACAAGTACTTTGATGGCTTTGAAAAGTTCTTCAAATCATTCAGTGTGCTCATTACATGCAATCAAATTTGCATGCAATTTTGGAATTTTTAGAATTTGTCGTTCGTCTTCGCATTCATATCCATATCCGCGGACCCATACTCTGGTCGTTATTCCTCCATCCCGACAAGCAGTTGAAAATGGTCAAGCAAGTCTTGCTAAATCTCGACCACCACTGAATCGCGCCATACCGCCAATTCCTGAATCTAAATCGAATGATTCAATTATGACTCAAATCTCAGAAAAGCATAGCGAGATTCATGCTGGATCAATTACACCTTCTACTTCCAAAGTTTCTCAGGAACTACTCTTATCAAAATCTGTAGCAGGATCTATCTCCTCGCCTACTACCAAGGTTGATTTTAAAAAAGTAGCAACAGATAATATTTTTTGTTAAAATGCATTTAGAGAACTCGACGTAACTAAAATTTAACCTTGAGACAAAAAAATTGAAATTCACTTTGTGAAGCCAACTGAAAACTTAGCTATACACTATTAAACTTTGACATTAAACTTTAGCTTGAATTTATCACTCAATAAACTTTGGAACTTTTTCGTAATATCACAACTTTATTTTGACATTTCATACATTATTAATTATTTCAGTATAAGGTCTAGTAAACTCTAGTTAAAAACTTTATCGGAAAAGTTTTTTAGGAAGCACAAATACACTCCCAAGATATGGAAAAAGATCGGTCATTAGTTATTGAGAACAGTATGGCACAAAATCTTGCATCAAAGACTGCTGTTATTGTTTCTTCCCGAAGTGGGTGCTCGAATGGTGTACCACGAAGTCCACTAATGTCTGTTGCGCATTCTGTGCGATCAAAGCTTACAAAATTAGGAAATCGTCTCAGTCGTACAGACGGAAATCAAAATATTCGTGCAAGCGCCAGCTTGTCCAGGTTGACTTTATTAAACTCTTTCTATGAACCATTAATATTAATGTTTACTTGTGGAATTGGAGTATAAGAAAGAAAAAATGTGGAGATTAGTTTTCGTTTCGCTTTATTGGTTCTGGCGCTGGATCGTATTCTGGGCACTCTGACTATACTTGTCCCGCGCTCATGTTTCTTGTACTCATCGTTTTTGCTTCGTTCTTGTGGAATCCATAACGAGTATTGAATGAGATGCTCTTCTTGATCACTGTGGATTGGATATATGCCTTGACGTGATCAGATATACTAATCTCCTTCGCGCAGCGTTTGTGGATGTTCGTTATATATATATATAAAGAGTGAGAGCAAGTATAAAGATAAGTGCAATAAAAAGATAGGACCTCATTGGATAGGCCTCGTAGGAAGGACCTCACTGTGTCTTCTAGTATAGTCGTGATGTAACATTTTTCACACTGCGTTGCTAGATAGTTCACCGTCTTCACACGTTTCCCACAATGTTGGCGCATATCTTTCTCAGCTCCAAACATATTTCTGTCTTTGAGATAACAGTATCGTGCCTCATCTTGTGGGGTAGTGTTTCCGTATCGCAGCCATTTTGATGAATCAACTGTGGACGAGGTTTATTCGTCCGCATCTTGTATAGCTCTGCATGGTGGGATTTCTTTTCTATTTAGCTATACAAGAACGCCTTTTGGGCTGCTAATACGTTTTCAACGGTAGGATTTTCTGCGAGGTTGTAATTAGTCA